TCTTCACTTCTTTTACATTTTTACAGTACTTATTTGAATTCTGATTATCTATCTCCTTCATCTTTAGGATTACGTAACTTCTATTTTCTTTTCTATGGGATTCTGGTCAAATTTAGTTATTGAATTATATACATGGTTGTACTATCTTCATTATTCTTATCACCACATGTATCAATTGTTCATACTTTTCCTATCATTGACCTGATTATCCTTATTATTGCTGTTATCGTCATGTAATCGTCATTGTAAGTGACATATTTGCAATATAACCACTATTATTATTATTATTATTCAAGTGTTGATTTGTAGGGATTTGATTGGTTATAGGATTTCATCATGAGCTGACATTATAGTTAGAGAACCATTGGAAAACCTGGAAGTACTGGACAGCTGCCTCGTCCTAGTTTGGGACTCTTCATCAGTACGCACCCACCGGGATTCGAACCCAGGACCTTCTGATTACAAGGCGAGCTCGTATACCATTAGGCCACTGGGACCTGATCCAATGGCCAGCCCATGAATTCTAACTTCTGCCAATTCACGACATAGCGCAACCGCTAGCCAATGTCTTCGGCGAGTATTTATCCTCACACCCGACCTGCTGCCCCTTACTGGTCACGACTTCTCACTAGAACCCCACATGAATAGGGCAAGTCGCTATTGAGCATCTCATTCACATTTAAGTGTCGTGAATTGACAGAAGTTAGAATTCATGGGCCATTGGAAAAGGTCCCAGTGGCCTAATGGTGTACGAACTCGCCTTGTAATCAGAAGGTCCTGGGTTCGAATCCCGGTGGGTGCGTACTGATGAAGAGTCCCAAACTTGAACGAGACAGCTGTCCAGTACACCCAGCTGGTTTTCCAATGGTTCTCTAACTCTAATGTCAGCTCATGATGAAACTATTATTATTTTCGACAGTTAGATTTCTTCACGAACTAACACCAATTAGAGGGAGATCAGTGAGTACCAAGAAGTACCAAGAAGGCAGCGATGATTCGAGACGTTCATGAAGCCGGTTCATCCTCCCGTAGGAGATAGCCGAAGTAAAGTAAAGTAAGTAAGTAAGTAAGAAGTATTGAACAACTGTTTCGTCCTATTTTGGGACTCCTCACCAGTGTGTGCCTACGACCCGATCAGGGACTGAACCCACGATCTTCAGGTTACGATACTGAACTCGTTGACTATTCAGCCAATTGGGCCGGGATTTAGTGACCCGTGAATTTTCCCAACGTTTTCCAATGGTCCTCTAACTAATGTCAGTTCATGATGAAATGCTGAAAACAATCAAATCCCTACAAAGCAAAGCATGAATATAAATCTGTTGCTCACTAGTGACTGACCCAATTCAGGTAGGTAGTTACCTAGGTTCTAGTGGGAAGTCGTGACCACCACAGTGGAGCACAGCAGATCGAGCGTAAGGACAAATACTCGCCAACGATGACATTAGCTAGTGGTCGCGCCATATCGTGAATTGGCAGAAGTTGAGACTCTTCGATTGGCCATTGGGATAAGAAATCTGGAGAATAGTTCAGCTATTGCAAATACTACATTCAATTACACACAACCACACAATAAGATGGATGCGATGACAGTTTTAACATCTAATGTAACACCAGGGTGGAGGGAGGGAGAGATTGATAACGGAAGCTTTGTTTATCGAATCCACTGTAGTTGCAAACACCTGTAACAGGAATAACTCAACACCTGTCCCAAATATCTGGAAAATTCTACAACCCCTACGACAACGAATAGAAAGAAAGAAAGAAAACTATAAAAACTCAAGTTTCGAAGTCGTATGATTATACGTGATATGATTATGAACAATGCTAGATTGTGTTCGAAACTTTGTCATTCAGTAAATAATAATACGACTGTTTCACTGTGTGATGTACAAACTAATCTAGATTTTGTTGCTACGTTTTTGTTCTCCACTAATCTATACTACTCTGACATAAGTATTTGGCCTGACAATTATTTCAGCGTATTAAAGAATCTAAATTATTTTGTTTAACTGGCTTCACAGGATGCTTTAGCGGACAAACCTTGTTTCTAATCGAATTTGTGAGCACAGTTTGAATAAATACCACTTTTATTCCTGCTTGTATAGTTAAGAATTCTACGTCAGATCTCTGAAGTTCCTTTTTTGTATGAAAGTACTACTGAGAATGATTTAAATCCCTTTACTGTTGGTGTTGTCATCACATTCTGTGCATATTTGTCTCGCGTGTCGTCATTATTCTGTCTGTCTGTCTATCTGGATTCAATACAGAACTTGGCACCGAAGTGCAGCGGTTCGAGTTGCCACGTTCCAAATACCACACAGAGGTAGACAAGAAGATGAATGAAGAGAATCAATAGTTTGACAAGTATAAGAGTGAAACAGAATGGGTAATGGTAGAAAGGAATATGAAAGATTACAGAGACTGAATACAACTGCGTCATTATTATTATTATCATAATTACCATCACCGTCACTATCATTACTATTATTACTACTTTAGTATACACATTTCCCTACATATTTCCTGATGAATTTATCAGAGTAATTATTAGGTTTAAAAGCTTCTCTTAGAAGCCCCACTTCCTGTCTTAGATTTTCCTTGACGTCACCTAGTTTGTGTCCTAATTACTTACTCTTAAACATTTCATCAATCTACTTTAAAAAATCTTAATACTAATTCAATTATTGATTAATTTTTTTTTAATTTTGTATTTACCCACTTGAACTTTACCCTCTTGAAAAAAACAAGTTAATTATATATATATATATATCATATACATGTATATTGATTTTAGTGCCAGTTAATGCCATTTCTCCGTAATATATATCAATATATACAACGACTGTATAGCTTGAAACTAAAGTTTTTCGAAAGAAATGATTCTTTGGCATGAAAAAAACTGTTGGTTTACAGGAACCCAATTGATTACAAGTCGGATCATAAGGTGACATCAGTTAGAGAACCATTGGAAAGCCAGCCAGGAGTACTAGACAGCTGTTTCGGCCTAGTTCCGAACTCTTCATCAGCACAAACCCATTTGGGATAGGAATCAGGAAACTTTCTGTTACAAGGAGAGGTTGTAGAGCATTCAACCACTGGGACCCCTGGTCTATTGGTCCATGAATTTCAAATTTTGCCAATTCGCAATAAGCTCAACTGCCATTGACGAGTAACTGATTGACTCTTACCTAACTTGGTAAACACTAATGGTTACATCTCGCTAGGATCCCAGGTGACTCCTTGTATAGAGCCAGTCACCAGTGAACAGCAGCAGTTGAACAATACATATCGCGAATCGGTAGAAATTGGAATTCAGGGGCTATTGGATCAAAGCTCAGTGGCTGAATGGTCTACAAACTCGCCTTGTAAACGGAAAGGTCCTGAGTTCGAACGCCTGTGAGCGCAGGCTATCGATGAGTCTCAAACTAGGACGAAATGGTTGTCGAGTACTCCTAGCTGGTTTTCTAACTGATATCACCACTCGTGATGAAGCGCCTGTAACAAAAACTGTGTTTTCCCTTATTAATGAATAAATGGGTATATTTCGTGATTTATTAAACATACAGATTACGCAATGTGTGTAACGTTAGGTAAAATAGGAAATAAGGATTCAATATGATCCTTAGATCAAATATACATAAGTCAAAGTGATACACGTCTGGAGTCAAACAGAATAGCTGAGCACGAAAATCTAGCGAAATCTACACTAGTTAGCCATAATAAGATTAGAAGGTGGCTAAAGAAAAGAAACTCAGCTACAGAACTCTTCATGCATTCACATGCAACCTGACCGACTGGCTGGTTTCAACAAGCAACTTTGCTCAGATGTGCAGCAGTTCAAGTTGCCACACACCCGCCTTGTAGCACACAAAGCAAGAAAACAGATTAAAGAGAGATACAAAAGAAACATAATACACACAAGTGTGAGACAAAAAAGAACAGCAATACGGAAGAACAATGGGATTTTATTGGACATTATAAATCATAAAGAGTGGATGGATCTGCGCTAGTCATTGAGAAGGATTTTCAGCCATATCATCAATTGTCTCCAGCCTTCATTGGTTCTTAGTATCCCAAGGACCCCCCCCAACCAGGAAGTCAGTCTACACCTTTCTACGAGGCTTTCTGGCTGGCTTAAACTAACTGTTGTGGATTTCATTGACTGATGTCATGTTTTGGTTTAACCATCACTGGTTCTTATCCGACATGATCCATCGTATGTTAGCTAACACTGGCTGTTGAGGAAGGTGATGCCCAAGGCATGAGTAATACATGTCTTAACCATCTTACTTAGTCAGTTACATCGGTGTAATTTCACAACCTCATCGATTGATTTCCCTTTCCACTTACCACCTAGCACTCGACCGAAGAGGCCTAACCACAATATTACTCACCCTATTATACCACTTAACACGGGAGATAAAACGCAGGTATCTATGATCAAAATGAATAATTAGGTATGCATCAGTGAATTTCACAAGGAATATAACCAGCCTGTTATTTACTTCAAAATATCGAGGAGAAGTACAACAACGAAGTTGCCTTCTTTCGACAGTGAAAATAAGATGCCCAGTCAGAAAGGATAAGCAAAAAAGCGACTCTGACAAGCGATGAACCACCAACCAAGAACCTGCTCCGCATCATATATATATATATGTAGAAGAAAATGGAGATGCATTGGACATACTCTGAGAAGACTGTCTAGTGAAATAGTCAGGCGCCAGGTTGGTGTTCTCCATTGGGACCCCCAAAACGGGAAACTGTGAGTTGGGGATGGGGTTGGAGGCTGACATGGAGAAGATGGTGTGATGGAAATCATGGAGCCAGCTAATGCCAACTGAAAGGAATAAGAAAAAAATGCTCAGATAAAATGCTTCTGAGGCACCATATTCCACTCGGAACCCAAGGGCATAATAATAATAATAGCAATAATAATAGTAGTACAGCAAAGCATAAAACTTCTTTATAAAATGTTCTTTTCTTTTTCTTCAACTGACCTAGCATATTCTGATGGATAAGGAGCTGAATACCAAGTGGTAATAATATACCGACCAAATTGTATTTGAGGTGGATAACGAGGATCTTCTGGCTTCTCAAGTTGTTGTTGTTGATGTTGTTTAGAATTTGAACGATGATCATTCGATCCTGATAAATTCAATGCTGAATTATCCATAACTGCTAAAAGTTTTGGATTATTTGCCGGTGGAAGGGCTAAGCTTGATTCAAGTGGTTGAGGCAGACACTAAGGAACAATGAAGAAGAAAGACACCATTTTATTACAGTTCACATAGAAAAGTGAAAAGCACTAAAAATAATACACATAACAAAAACAGCCTAACAAATAAGCCCATAAACATTAATTAGGTTTGCCTCATGGCCTAGTAGGCTAACTGGTATCACATTGTTGATTTTAATATTATTGTTATCACATTATCATAATCCTCTTGAGTTCCAAGTGGAACGCCTCTTGTGTGTGTGTGTGTGTGTTCAAAAGTACATCTCCACTTCACTCTGTTCTCCACAGTCCCCCTTAACAAGCTCCACGATTACCCATAAGCTTTCGTTACCACACACCCCGCCTTCGTCACACACCTCCATCTCCCCATGTCACTAATCGTTATCCATTTGGATTCTACTACTCAACGGTCTCATTATTATTATTATTGATTTTATTCCTTTACTTTCCCAGTGGAACATAGGGCTTCAAGCTAGAGAGGCTTGAAGTTTCGGCAGGTAGTAATGGTGCTCCTACTAGCCCCATGCCCAACCTCGCCTCTTTACCAGTCCTATTACTGGATTAGCGAGGTCAGGGGGAGGAGTGAGTCGACCAGGAATCGAACCCACATACGTGGTTAGCAAGCATTCTACCGATGTGCCATCGACACCACAGTCTCATTGACGATCATCGAATCAATTTTCATTTCCTTCTTTATAGGTCAGAGTGCCTTGTCACTGATCCTTTCTCACCAGTCATCTGATTTTCAGTATGGACAAAAGGAGGAAGGTATTTGGTGTAAGTCTTCAGTGATCAGGCATTCATTAACTAATACGGTATTCAAGAGACTTTTTATTTTTTTTTTTCGCAGCATTAATACACTCAGCTATGATATACACGTTTATACGCCTGTGAACTAATCACATGGTTTGTAAGTAAAAGCGATAAAAAACCTTATTCAAGAGAGGTTTAAATGTTTGAATCCCATAATGCTTTAATACCCCAATGAAAATGCTCCGCAACTAAACCAACCAGCTTAGAGAACACCATTCATTGCAAATATTCTTCCCTCTGCTTTCACAACAGTACTACTCATAGTGAAAAAGGAGAATGGATGGGATTTGTTACTTTAGTTTGTAGAATGAAATATGCGGAAAATTTGTTAAGATTTGTTAATATGTCCTTATTTCAATTTGAAGAGTGCAAAGAGTTATTAAACTCAGCTTTCACGAAGAGGCGTATGACATCTGTATTCACAGATAATAAAAACAACTCCAATGTTCACTAAGTACAACATATAAAGTAAAGAGCTTATTATTAATATTATCAATAAAAAAAACACAGATTTAGGCAAAGTTAAACTTTCGACACCACTACTACCAACCAATCAGAAAAGTTTAACTTGACCCAGATTTATACATTATATGGGGCACCACCACCACTAGGTTCGCTGAGTTTTTTGGTCGTCGTGATCCACAACAAGTAAGTAAGTCTTACACAGGACGAAACGTATATACAGCAAAAAAAACAACATAGTAGTCAGCTAACATGTATGTCGATAGACACCGATTTCATTTCAGGTAAAATATAAATCCATTATGAAGAAAATAAAAGAAAGAAAAAAATTTTCTTGTTCTTTTTGACGAAATCATCTTCAGAGGCTGTACAGTCGTATTTATACTTACAAAAATACATAGTGGTCTATTATTGAGTAATAGGGGGTGACATAAGTGATATTATTATTATTGTATCCTTTAGTTCCTAGAGGAACATAGGGCTTCAGCTGCGCACCTCCATTGCCTTCGGTTTTCTGACAACTTTTTCACCCTGCTCCAGGTATGTCCACATGCTTTCATCTCCTCCTCGCATGACCTCCTCCAAGTCACCCTTGGACGACAAACTCGCCGCTTCCCTTTCGGGTTCCACTCGAGGGCTTGTCTAGTGATGTCACTTGATGGTTTCCTCAGCGTATGGCCAATCCATCTCCATTTCTTTCTGCCTATTTGTTTCACAATCGGTTCCTGATTGGTTCGCTCCCAGAGATCCCTGTTGCTGATCTTTTCTGGCCATCTGATCTTGAGTATTGAGAGGAGACATAAGTGATATAAATACTCAAAAGTGGTTTTAGAACTGAAAAGAATTAAAAGTTGTCAATTAGGTGGTACTCTCAATGGGTATTTTCGGTGAAAAAAATCCATTAAATGGGGAAACTCATTTAAACTAAAAGAAATAAACTAAAATTCATTAAGTCAGATGATTTACTCAGCAAACTTCAGCGTCATACACTTCTCCATTCCCCCTATAGTCTCATGACGTGAAAAGTTTAATTTGGAATAAAGCAAGAACAACAGGGGGTGGTGGTGGTTTGTGCAGAATGTAACAATAATAAGCTAACCATCATTGTTTCTACTGGCATTGGATTCTCATCAGCAGTTGCTTACAGCCTAAATAAATTATGAGGTTTATGTAGAGAAGCGTTTTAACATACTTGCAAATTTTACTCAATGTCACTCGATAGGAGGTTCCAGACTTAGTGAGTATAGTGCTCAGAAAATTACACTTATACTGTTTTTACACACAAGGTGTTCAGGTTTAAACAAAGTAAATGTATGCATGCAATGATTGGTAAAGGAGTTACGTATATTAAAGACGAGAGAGGTGCGTAAGATGACGAATGACTAATAAACTAAGTAATAGAATAATAAATAGGATAGAAGCCCTTCTTTCTGTCCTTCAATGTACTTGCTCCCGAAAGTGCACGTAAATTCATAAACGCAGTTGGAGGTGACATCAGCAGGTATTTATACAATTTTGAGTGACTTATAGAAGAAGTGGTGCTGTATAATGTTATGAGTTTAGCTGCAGGGAAGATTCTTTTTATTGCACCTTTCAGTGTTTTGTCAATCTTTTGTGACACTGCATCTCCTTTGTATGGTAGACAGATAAACACTTTTTTCTTTTCTACAGTTGGATGCTTTTCTTTCTCATCTTTTTCTCTGCTATACTTCTGTATAAATCCCTTAGGCTATCCATTTTCTCTAAGGCATTTCTTGAAGGAATCTAATTCTTCTTTGACCTTGTTTGGCGAACATAGCTGCCTGGCTCTGAACTTTGATTTTGATTACATTAATAATTAGTCATCTAATTCAGTGATCTCAACTCACTGAACAAATCTTAATCTCATAAACTGTAACCGCTTTTGTTTTTTTGAGTTGCTATGTGAACAAGCTACAAGCTAACACTGTTCTGTTAATCATGTTTTTTCTAATTTCTGTCTTACCTCTCCCTCATCTTTTCCACTTTAAAAGCGTGTAAATTGATGATGAAAACTTCAACTATATAAATTGTAATGCTGCTTTCATTTTGGATGAGTCAATTTTATGTAGTATCTCTTCTCTACCACTACCACTCAAACATTAAAGTATGTTATTACCATCTATATAAATAACGATTATAATTTCAGGTAGTGGTGTGCAGCTGATGAGAACCTGTGAAATAGAATGATGGCATCATTTTATACTGCAAAATTTCGACTTCCTTTCTTTTTCGAAATTTATCAAAGGAACCCAAATGTATGAATTAATTGATGTTGTTGTTATTTGTGTTAGGCCTTTTCTGTTTGTTTGTTTTTCATTAACGATATATATTATACTAATAGGAATATATATATATATATATATATATATATATATATATATATATATATATATATATATATATATATATATATATATATACGTATGTGTGTTGTATAACCACCCGATTAGTAAAGTGAGTGGCTTCAATAGGCATAGAGGAGGAGGGTATGTAGGCAGAGGAAATTACCCAGAGAAAAACAAACTTTCACTCCATAATCAAAAAACACAGAAGAAAAATAGAAGAGGAGAGATAGAAAAGGATAATAATTGCCCTTGCTGTTAAATAATAATAATAATAAAACCACATGACTGTAATGGAACACAACACACATCATACTACTACTACAACTATTATGGAACTATGCCTACTATATATCTATGCCTATTATACAGCAGGCAACCCTAAGTGAGAGAGAGAGAGAGAGAGCAAGTGAGAAATGGTGACACATTATGGAGATATAGGCAAAAGAGGACGACGCCTACACACACTTACATACACACACACATTCACGCACACATGCACCCAGGAAACGACAATAATATCCGCACGCGTGTGCGTGTGTGTAAGTTTTTTTATATAAAAACGGGAAACAAAAACAAGAACAAAATTACATCCGCACACGTCGTATTATTATAATATACACACATTTTATAGGAAGAAGAGACTGAATATGAAGAAGGAGAATCAATTTTATTCTAGTTAAAAATTTCTCTTTAAGGAACCAACCAACCTGCTAGTGTACGTGTGCATGCACACACACACACACACAAAACACACACACAAAACCTTTCGTTCTTCTCCATGTTTTCTCTCTCTCTCTCTGTTTCACTCTCACTCGTTTATATATTAGAAAGTGATACTATTACTAGCTGCTACTGCTACAACCGACTGTAACACTAAAACTGGTATACACACAACCTAGTGAAGGTTAATTAAAAACTGTCATGAACATGACGCAGCATTATAGATGGCACCATATCTAATACGATTAGGAAGAGAATACCTAAGTCAACAAGACACACACACACTCCAGCCGTTTTCAGCAACCAAGATCCTACAGCTAATATAGTAGTATCTCGTTTAATCAGTGAGTTAAAAAAAGAAACCGGGATAAATAAGTGATAGGAGTAACATGACGGTAACAACAACAACAACAATAACCAATCCTCTTGGCAGTGGCCTGCTTGAAATTTGGGCTCCCGAAAGCTACCATCTCTCTCTCTCGCCTCTCTCTACTGCATATATTTTCTTTTTGTTCGGTTTGTTTTAATCGATTCAGATATGACTTCTTATGGTATTATCTACTCTTGTGTGCATTCAAAATTCTCGAATATTGCTTCTGTAGGGATTTTGTTTGTTTGTTTGACTGGTTGGGGAGATTTCATCATGTGGTGATATCAGTTACAGAACCATTGGAAAACCTGCAAGGAGTACTGGACAGCTGTTTCGTCAGCCTAGTTTGGGATCAGCTGCTCAGTAGAGACTGGCCTTATTCAGACAACTATCTGGGGTTCTAGTAGGGGAAGTCATGACTAGTAGGCTACAGCAGGTTGAAGGTGAAGCAGTAACTCATCGAAGAAGACATTGAGAAGTGGTCGTGCTATGTCGTGCGTGAATTGGCAGAAGTTACAATTCATGAGTTGGTCATTGGACTGGGTCTTAGTGGCTTAATGGTCTCTACGAGGTAAGTCGCCTTGTAACCACCAGAAGGTCCTGGGGTTAGAACCTCGGGTGTACTGCTCATCAGTCCGCTCCGTCCTCCTTTATGGTTGTGAGACCTGGCCACTTAGAGTGGAAGACATGAAAAGACTAGCTGTCTTTGATCATAGGTGCCTGCGTTCTATTTCCCGTGTAAAGTGGCATAATAAGGTGAGCAACATGGAGGTTAGGCGTCGAGTTCTAGGTAAACAGGGGAAATCAATCGACGAAGTCGTGAAGCTACAAAGACTGAGATGGTTAGGACATGTGTTACGTATGCATGCCAAGCCATCGCCTCCCTCGACGAGCAATGTTAGCGGATATAGGGTCAGGCTGGAAAAAAGCTAGCGGCGGTCAAACAAAAACTTGGCATCAGTCAATGAAATCCACAACAGTTGGTCTAAGCCACGTAGAAAGGTGTAGACTTCCAGGCTGGGGTCCTCGGGAAAATGTAAATGGAAATCGGCCCTTTAAATTTTTTTTTTCTTTTCCTTTTTTTTTTTTTTTTTGAGTATCTTAAAACCTCGGTGGTGGATGCGTACTGTGAAGAGTCCCACACTCGGACGAAACAGTTGGCTGTCCAATAGTCCCAGTTGTTTTGTCAGTGGTTTTCTAAATGATGTATTTAAAATGTTTACACAAGCTGCTGATTCTCAAGTTCCTACTCAACTTGAGGAATGCCATGATTGTTCGTGGCAACGTGTCCCACTACATGAGATAACTGTTCTTCATTTATGCCCTTGGCTCTCAAATTGTACTTCTAAACATCTTATTAATTGACCTTCAACTAGATATCGTGGATTTCTTGAAGGATGGAGACAAATCAGATATATCACATAATGGAATGGTTTGTGATTCACATCAGTTTAGATAGAGATCATTGTGTCTCAGAGGATGTATACCGCCCAATTAATTAATATTTCAGGATTTCATCATGAGCTGACATTAGTTAGAGAACCATTGGAAAACCTGGGAGTACTGGACAGCTGTTTCGTCCTAGTTTGGGACTCTTCATCAGTACGCACCCACCGGGATTCGAACCCAGGACCTTCCGGTTACAAGGCGAGCTCGTATACCATTAAGCCACTGGGACCCGATCCAATGGTCCTTGAATTCTAACTTCTGCCAATTCACGACATAGCGCGACCGCTAGCCAATGTCTTCGGCGAGTATTTGTCCTCACTGGAATATATCATGCAATAAAATCCTCTGAAAATTCTGTATATTTCTTACATATTGTCAGAAATATAAAGATACTATTATTATTAATAGGTAGTGGTCAGTCGACTTATGTTCTGGGAATTTCTCAACCATTAACTATATATATATATATATACGTACAGCCTAGTTGATGACTTCATCAAAATGAAAATTTCCTTCACTGCAATCGTTAATTATTTTCATAATATTTCCTATGATCTGATGCCTATTATTCTGAGATCTGAAGAATAGTGAAAAATAAAAAGTGAGAACACACGTGATACTTTTAATCCTTATCTTAGAGTACATGAAAAGAACCATGAGCTAGCTAGCTAACCCCCTACCCCCCTCTACCAACCTAATCAATAAATATAATCATGATAGACAATTTTCACAACGGAAAACTTACGAAATCATTCGAAGTGTAAACGGGAGTGAGGCAAGGCTGACTGCCTATTATCGCCAATGATTTTCCTGATTGCAGTAGATTGGATAATGCAACAGACAGTGGTGGGCAATGAGGACTTAAACAATGGACCCACACAAAAAACTTGGAGGATATGGACTTCGCCAATGGCATATGTCTGATTTCCTACCCACTCGAAGATATGCAAGTAAAAAGCAACAAGTTAGAAGAAGAAGCCTCCAGGTGAAGATGGAGAAAACAGAGGCAGGTGATGAAGATTCCTGCCCAACATCAACAGTAGCAACAACAACAGACGACAATCAGCATGAATGGGAGGAACCTGAAAGAAACAACCTCCTTTACCCACCCATCTACCTGGGAAGTATCGTTTCAATTACAGGCGGTACTGACCAGGATATCAAAGCAAGGATCGGTAAAGCAAGACAAGCTATTATTACTCTCAAGTCTGTGTGGAAGTCAACAGCACTCCGTGGCATGAAAAATAAAACCCTAATTTTCAACTCCAATGTGAATTCAGTCAGTGCTACTATACGGATCAGACATTTGGCGCATCATAAAGAGCATCTCAAACAAACTACACACCTTCATAAACACCTGTTTTCGCTCAATACTCAAGATCAGATGGCCGGCCAGAAAAGATCAGGAACAGGGTTGGATCTCTGGGAGCGAACCAACACAGCGGGAACCGATTGTGCAACAAATAGGCAGGAAGAAATGGAGGTGGATTAGAGGGCATACTCTGAGGAAACCAGCAAGTGACATCACTAGACAAGCCACTGATCAAGTGGAACCCGAAAGGGAAGCGGCGAGTTGGTCGTCAGTACAAGGGTAACGTGAAGGAGGTCACGTGAAGAGGGGGTGAAAGCATGTGGGCAGACTTGAAGCCAGGTGATAACTCTAGCAGAGAACCGAACGCAATGGAGACGCGCGGCTGAACCCCTATGTTCCTCTAGGAATTAAAGGAAATAATAATAATAAATACATTAAGCGAAAGAACAAACAACAACTTACAGCTTGTACATCCGCCTGTATTAAATTGAACAGTGCACGATTCTCATCTGATATAACACTCATTTCAGGGGCTTCATCATTCTCTGAATCAAAATAATAATTATTGTTATTTGATGTAGACAAATTCTCTGTATTGTTATCACCAGATGGAGTTGTCACATTCTTAGCCGACTTTGATGTTAATCTACTACTTCGAAGTAGACCACCACCACCGACCATTCTACCAGTTTGAGCAGCAGCTGCAACAGTTTCATTTGACTCATCGTCATCATCACTGTCGCCGTCATCAGCATCTGCTTCATATTCTCTTCCATCAACATCATCTTCATCGCCATCATCATTGTCACTTTCGTCTTCATCCTCGTCATCTGAGACAATTCGACGCTTAAATGATTTTTTTCTATTTCTGTAGTAATAAGATTTTTGATATTTACTAATATGTCTTCGTCCACCACGACCACGACCGCGACCGCGACCAATACTACGATGATTACTACTGAATTGACTAATACTTCTACCAGTAGTATATTCACGTAGTTGACGAATGGGCTGATCATGTGAACCGGCGGTTAGCCTTTTTTGTAAAGGTCGCTTCAATAAGCTTTGTCTTGTCTTCAATCTAGGTGACCTCAACATGCCGGTAGTAGTGGTAGTCTGATTAGATATATCATGTTTGCCTGAAAAATTCCAAAATTAATATGAATTAAAATTAAATATGGGTGGAAATTTAAAATATACGTACATAAACATGGGATTGAACTTTTGTCTGAATAGATACGTAAATACTCGCAAAATATTCAGGTTAAAGAACGCGTGTACTGAGCAGCAGTTTGTTGTATTTCCTATTTTTAGGCAACTTTGCCATTCATGACATTCTGGAGTCAGCTCTGAAGGATGTGCGTGAAGGTAATGTAAATCTGCTACCTCGAGATAGACTTTTCGACTTTGAGTATGCAGACGATAGCGTCTTACTGTGCGATAGTATGCAGACTGCTCAAATCACACTTAATCAGTTGGCGATCAGTGTCTCTAAGTATGGTATGCTATGGTACTTTGCGCCGTATAAGTGCAAAGTACTGTTACAAGACTGGCAGGAGCCTGTACCTGCACTTACTCTTTCGGGTGAACCGCCTGAAGTTGTTGATAAGTTTGTGTATCTGGGTAGTTAGTTGTGTGAGTCCTGGCGGAGGGAGGGGTAACGGATGAGATTTCCAACCGTATAATGAAGGCTAGGGTGGCATACATCAACTTCAGCCACCTCTGGCGCCGTCTCGACGTTAGCCTGGATGTCAAAGGTCGGGTATACAATGCTTCGATGCGGGCTGAGGATGTGAGGTGGCGACTCTGCGTGTTCGATCACCGCAGGATTGCTTGCGTTCGATGGATGGCATCATCACATGAGTAATTCTGAGGTTCGCCGGCGTGTGTTTGAACACAGTGGAGATCACCATTCATTGAATGTCGTCATCTGGAAACATCGGCTCCGGTGGCTTGAACATGTGCTCGGAATGTCCTCCTAGACAGAGGATTCCGTACAGGTCTCTGTTTGCTAGCCAGCCCTGGGACGGGATGGAAAAGGCCGAGGGGTGGTCAACCCTTGACGTGGAGTGGTGGGATGAAGGATGTTTGTGTTAGATTAGCATCGGTTGGTGTGTCACGACTCCCTCAAATCGATGGCTCGACACGTTATCGGATATGGCCGAGAATCGTAGTAATCAATGGCGAACGTGTTGCAATTACCTTCTTTCTTCCCTTCCCAATGATAGTTAACGAATACTATTTGAACGTGTTAAGCATGACTGTTTTCCTTCCAGATGAAGTTCTTTATCCGTTCTCTACTTGTATATTTTTTTTACTTTTCATCTATGTTGTTTTATTATTATAATGTGTGGCACCTCTTTCTTGGTGCCATTTTGTACCAAGTTTTTTATTCTGCGTTTAAATAAATAAATAAATATTTAGGCAGCAGGAAGGAATAGACACCACCTTCGTGCGACCTTGAAACAATCAATCGGATTCTCCCGGATGAAAAGTGGTGCTTAATCTGTATAAAAAAGTGCACCTAGGTAACAAAAATGAATCATTCAGGGTATATACCTCTAATATGCTACAAAAACTGCGCCCCCCCCCAATTTCTCATAGAAGTGGTTTTATAGACATAACAAACCCATGTATTCTCTATTTCGGCAGCTGTAGCAGACATTGGTCGCATATATATACAATACATATCACGAAGGGAGAGCTTTAAGAGTTTCGAGAAGAAAGTGTCTAAAACACCATCATTATGTATACTTACCAACTTATACAGACTTCCTCATATATTAGAGTGTCTGCATCTGAATGTACAACCATTAATAGCCACGCCAATACTTTTTGAGGGTCATTATCCCTCCACGTATAAGCATGTTTTATTCCTCACTATCAACCCATTTTCCACAGAGAAGTCAAAAGCCAAATCTAGGAGAAACTTGCAAACGAGGAGTACGATTAACATCCATATTTATAATGCTGATCCACCTGATTGGTCGAATCAAAGATCATCTGACACTGGTGTCTATTGTTTAATCTCCCCTTTACTTATTGCTATGAAACATGGCGATTGAAAGTGTTACACGTGAAAAGGTTGGCTTTCTGTGATGAGAAATGTTTACGTCCTATCAACCGTGTTAAGTGGTATAATATAGTACAGAAAGTAGGTCAATTCGATGAGGTTCTGAAGCTACCATCCACCGAGATAACTAGGATACGTGTATTAGGCGTACCACGCCATCACTTTTGTCGACAAGCAATGTTAGCTAACATAGGGTTGAATTGGAAACCTGCCATTAATCACCTCATAAAGTGCCTCTAGTAGCTGGTTCGAGTTAGCCACGTCGGAAGATGGAGACTATTCTATTCTAGTTGGGGTCCTCGGGATGATAAGAATCAGTTGCTGGAGACTACACATGATGCGGCTCAAAATCCTTCTTTGTAATCTCCCAAATCTCCCTTTTCTCTCCATTTGAAACACATGAAAGAGTGAAAAGGAGTTTATTGCAATATATATATATATGATTTCTGGTCATTTCCCAGGTACCGGACTATTGTAAGCTGATGACACCAAACCCAGGTGATAATCCGACTAAAATGAGTCAGGTAGGGAGATGCAGACTCCCGGGTTGGGGCCCTCGGGACTCTAGGAATCAATGGCTGGAGACAATAGGTGACATGGCTCAAAATCATCGTTGTCAATGGCCAGCCCAGATGAATTCAGTCTCTGTAATCTTTCATATTCCTTTCTACCATTACCCATTCTGTTTCACTCTTATACTTGTCAAACTCTGTTGATTGTCTTCATTCATCTTCTTGTCTACCTCTGTGTGGTATTTGGAACGTGGCAACCCGAACTGCTGCACTTTGGTGCCAAGTCCTATGTTGAATCCAGACAGACATCGTTTTCTAAATAGGCTTCTAGTTCCGCCTGATGATATACAAGGGGTGAGTTGTGAATGAAGAGGGTGGTGGTGTGAGTTAGATAAAATGGATTGAGCCCATTTTTCACATGAGTCCAAGTGCCTGTCTACCAGAATATTAACAAGCTGGTTAAGTGTCACGAAGCTGACAACCTTTAACATCCTACGTAATAAGATATAGTCTTTCTTCAGTAGCCCTGGAAAAACTAAGGGGAACAATAGAGAATAATAGGTAGGATGCAATAGTTAACGAATCGTAAGAGTAAGGGTTGGGTTATACCATAATGTCTTAATTTCTTGATGTAGAAGGTAAGACGGAATATTTTCTTAGAAATCATCAAGATATGAGACAACCAGGAAAGATCACCAGATAGAATGACGACGCCTAGGTATTTAATTTCCGACTTGGTCTCTATTTCAGTGTCATTTATGTTGCACACCTCGTGAGTGCTAATCAGTTTGTTTAGGTTAGATTTATGCTTGAAGGTGAAATTGACTGTTTAACATATAGAGGGATTTAAAGTTAGACTGTTTTCCTTGGACCACTGGCTGATTTCTGATAAAAAGCCATTTAGTTAGGAGCAGTTACTTTGACATTTGACAGACAAAGAAAGATACAGTTAGGTCGTCAGCGTATTTAACAAAATTAATATCATTTGAACATGGTAATATTATATGATAATAATAATATAAGAACATACATTTAGGCGCATAATATTACCTTGTTTTTGATTTGATTTTTCTGTAGTTGTATGCAGTAATTCACGATTAACAAAGCCAAGAGAAGTTGTACTCCTTGTAGAATGTGATGGACTCAACTGATCAGTTAGCTGCAGTAGTGAGGTACTTTCTTTCGCTTTACGATGAATAAAACTTGCAAAACTACGAGGTGATAAGGCACGTTTGAAATAACGTTTATTCTTAGTTTCAGTTTTAACTGATTTATAGTAACTTTTCGCAGCAGCAGTAGTAGTAGTAGTCTTGTTGCGTCTTGAAGAAATATTTTCCTCAGTTAAAATATCTGTCTTATCATCATCATCATCATCTTCTTCGTCGTCGCCGTCCTTCTCCTCCTGCTCGTCTTCGTCTCGTTCTTCATGACGACTTCCATGTTTTTCTATATCCATTTCAATAGATTGTACAGAAGCTGATTTAGGTCTATCACAGGAACGGAGTAAACCTCTCCAGGCTAAACTAGCACACATGGATGAACGTCGAGTACGTGAAACTGCAGGAACAAGAACAGAAAAAAGAACACAAGACATGAAACAGTTTAGACATATATACAACTGGCACTGGTGTTACTGGAATTTTTATCTACAAAGAAAATACCCTCATTCCGCCAATCACATTATGCAGCGAATTACGCTCTCCAGTATTGCGTTTGAGGCAAGCAAGTATCCACACATAAGTATGCATTTTCGAACAAACAAAAAAAGCATTTCTACCTATCAATATCCGTGTTCCATAGTAACTCAAAGGGAAAAACCACACACGGTGGATAACGATGAATAGTGAATTAAGCATACAAACACGAGTCGAGTGATTGTCCGCGAATTAGTTAGCCTATTTATTACTGCTATCATCATTTTTAAATGTTCTTTTACAGGAATTTAATTGATTCCTACATTGGTCACCAATTAACTCACTGAAAATCTGCAAGGAGTGCCGGACAGCTATTTCATCCTAGTTTGTGACTCTTTAGTGATACGATACATTCACGTGACCCTACCGGAGGAGATCGCGTCGAGAACTTTCGGGTTAAAAAGGTGAACCCGTTGACCATTCCACCCACTGGAAGAGAATCCAATGGCACATAAATACTAACTTCTCACGATATATAGCGCAACCGCCAGTTGTGAATGGCGAGTATTTGTCCTTACAGCCAAATATGTGGATCCCGCTGGTAACAAGAATTGACAAGACAATGGATTCCATCTTAGGGGCTGAATGGTCAGTGAGGTCGCCATGTGAACCAGAAACTCCTGGGTTCGATTCCCAGTAGGGCCATGTGTTCGCACTGTTGAAGAGTCCCAGGCAAGGACAAAACACCTATCCAGTGCTCCCTGGTTGGTTTCCAATGGTTTTTCTGACTGCTAGTGTTAGTTAGTGGACAATCTGGAGGAGGAGTGCGATAATTGAACAACGCCTGGTTAACACTGATCACTCCATCTCAACAAACACCTCCTGCTTCAAAATAATCTACAGAGTCAAGAATAACCCATCTAAGTCAATACGGTTTTCTTTTCTTTGTATACCTGAAGCTCTGACTATTCACACAGAAAAACCGGACCTGTGCATACAAAAGAGAATTACTCAACCACTTCTATTATCATGGTAACAACTTCCTTGATTTTTCATGACTTAATTTTTTGTTTGCTTACCTGTTTCTTTAATTGCTTATAATTCTTCTATTCATTTAGAACTCTTATGTAATTTCGTATTCTCTACTTTGTTCCTATGTGTATCCCAACTGAGTGCAACTCAATCATCACTATTCATATTATTACGTAACTTCTTTCTAAAAACTGTTTGTGGCAAGTCATCACCTTTGTTACTATACTAGTTTCATTAACACCTAATTTCCGTGACCGTTTTTGTATTACGTAACTCTACCCAAGACTTAATGAATCAGCTGTTTAATCTAGAGATTCATCAAATCCTTCGCACACTAACAATTGAACTCTGAACTAGATAAATTGTGAGTGACATTCAAAATTCTGTGATAAAGAAAAATTGAATTGTATGTTATCATTAACTAGCTAGCCAGCGTAAGCGTATAACTACCCCTGATGTTTGACCAAGTTTTGCTCATTTTTGTCTTAAATCAAAAACGCTACAAGAATGTGAATGCGACAGGTATGCACAGTTGCCTAAAAATTTACTCATTTCTCCTCTATCCTTATTCATATATTTTGATTATTATTATAATAACCTTTAGTTCCTAGAGGAACATAGGGCTTCAGCGGCGCACCTCCACTGCCTTCTGTTTTCTGCCAACTTTTTCACCCCGCTCCAAGTCTGCCCACATGCTTTCATCTCCTCTTCACATGACCTCCATGTCACCCTTGCACTGACGACCAACTCGCCGCTTCCCTTTCGGGTTCCACTCGAGCAGTGGCTTGTCTAGTGATGTCACTTGATGGTTTCCTCAGAATATGGCCAATCCACCTCCATTTCTTTCTGCATATTTGTTGCACAATCGGTTTCTGCTGGGATGGTTCGCTCCCAGAGATCCCTGTTGTTGATCTTGTCTGGCCATCTGATCTTGAGTATTGAGCGAAAACAGGTGTTAATGAAGGTGTGTAGTTTGTTTGAGATGCTCTTTATGACGCGCCAAATGTCTGATCCGAATAGTAGCACTGACTGAATTCACATTGGAGTTGAAAATCCGGATCTTATTTTTGATGCTGAGTGCTGTTGACCTCCACACAGACTTGAGAGTAATGAGAGCCTGACTTGCTTTTCCGATTCTCGCTTTGGTATCCTCGTCAGTTCCGTTCGCCTGTAGTTGAAACGATGCTTCTCAGGTGGGTAGGTGAAGGAGGTTGTTTCTTTCAGGTTCCTCCCATTCATGCTGATTGTCGTCTGTTGTTGTTGCTACTGTTGATGTTGGGCAGGAATCTTCATCACCTCTGTTTTCTCTATGTTCACCTGAAGTCCTATCTTGGAAGCTTTTTCTTCCTATTTGTTGCTTTTCACTTGCATATCTTCGAGTGAGTAGGAAATCAGACATATGCCATCGGCGAAGTCCATATCCTCCAAGTTTTTTGTGTAAGTCCATCTTATGCCTGTTTCCTCATTGCCCTGCCCGCTCTCTGTCGCATCATCCAGTCCACTGCAATCAGGAAGATCATTGGTGAGAGTAGGCAGCCTTGTTTCACTCCCATCCTCACTTCGAAGGCTTCCGTAAGTTTCCCGTTGTGGATTACTTGGCATGCATCATTGTCGTGTAATTGTTGGATGAGATGTATAATTGTCGATGGGACCCCGTAGTAGCGAAGTAGTTGCCAAATCATCTCTCGATCGACGCTGTCGAAGGCCTTTTCAAAGTCGATGAAGTTGAGTGAGATAGAGAGGTGACTGCCATTCCAAGCTTTGTTCAATGATGATCCGTAGAGTGGCGATTTGATCAATACATGATTTGTTTCTCCTGAATCCGGCCTGTTCCGGTCGAAGTTTTTCATCCAGGTTGGCTTGTTTGATTCTCTCCAGGATGATGCGGCTTAGCATTTTGCTTGGAATGAACAGGAGCAAACTTCTTTTTGGCTATTTTGTTATTATTTTTCAAAAAAATATATACTTCACATAAAAACATTTTACGCGTCAATATAATGTATGCATTTATTACTACTTAACTTGAAAGCATAGCATAAACAAACAAAATCATAAATAATAATAATAATACGGAGAGAGATAATAAGAGGGGAAAACTGGAAAATAACCAAATGAAATATACTTAAACACGATGAGTATTATCATTGATTTACTTTTACTCTGTAATAGTTATTTAAACGCAGAATAAAAAACTTGGTACAATATGGCACCAAGAAAGAGGTGCCACACATTATAATAATAAAACAACATAGATGAAAAGAAAAATATATATAAGTAGAGAACGGATAAAGAACTTCATCTGGAAGGAAAACAGTCATGCTTAACACGTTCAAACAGTATTCGTTAACTATCATTGGGAAGGGAAGAAAGAAGGTAATTGGAACATGTTCGCCATTGATTACTACGATTCTTGGCTATATCCTTCATCCCACCACTCCACGTCATGGACCGACCACTCCTCCACCCTTTCCATCCCGTCCCAGGGCTGGCTAGCAAACAGAGACCTGTACGGAAGCCTCTGTCTGGGAGGACATTCCGAGCACATCTCCAAGCCACCGGAGCCGATGTTTCCAGATGACGACATTCAATGAATGGTGATCTCCACTGTGTTGAAACACTCGCCGCCGTACCTCAGAACTACTCATGTGATGATGCAATCCATCGAACGCAAGCAATCCTGCGGAGATCGAACACGCAGAGTCGCCGCCTCACATCCTCAGCTCGCACAGCCCGCAACGAAGCATTGTATACCCAATCTTTGACATCCAGGCTAACGTCGAGACGGCGCCAGAGGTAGCTGAAGTTGATGTATGCCACCCTAGCTTTCATTATACGGTTGGAAATCTCATCCGTCACCCCTCCCTCCGCCAGGACTCACACAACTAACTACCCAGATACACAAACTTATCAACAACTTCAAGCGGTTCACCCGAAAGAGTGAGTGCAGGTACAGGCTCCTGCCAGTCTTGTAACAGTACTTTGCACTTAGACGGCGCAAAGTACCATAGCATACCATACTTACAGACACTGATCGCCAACTGATTAAGTGTGATTTGGGCAGTCTGCATACCATCGCACAGTAAGACAATATCGTAATAACACAACAAGGAAACCGCAAGCATGATAACCCCCCCCCTCTCACGCAAACATGTGACTATCATCTTTTGTATATATATCAGTCAGAAACTGATAACATCGAACCTACAGATGGTCTCTCACATATCTTTTACTCCATAGTCTCTCACATTTTCATTCCTTCCAAGCGGTCTAATGCCACGGAATTGTGATCACCTGGGGGTTAGCTTGGAAGGAATACATAGCACTTAACTAGGTCCCACCAAAGTAAGTGCTACAAAGTGACTCCCAGGAAATGACAACCTATATTATATGCGCCAACAAAGAATTACAGTTGGTATAGGGAACCAAATTCATAGACGGCTACTTAAAGTACTTGTGTGGTGTGTACTACTGACAAGATTTATAAGTAGTACATACATGCAGATTGATAGAAAGAGGCTGAAATTTTGAAAGCAACATTTTAAGTCAATGACTGGCTGCACAGAGATAGAAGTATTAATTTCTCAAATCTTATTGGACAACATTCATCTCACTGTTTAAAACTAGGCCGATCACCAGCGAATGAGAACAACCGATTTCTTCTCTGACCTAGCTGACTTTTCATGTGGTTAAAAATGTATAAATGTGGTGCATTTTTCGTTAATATAAATATAGCCCGTTCCCAATCCTTTTTATTTCCGTCGTCACACTTTTACACACTTGGAAATTGGACAGTACCATTTCGACGAATAGATTCATAGTTTTTTTAATGCGGCTCGACGAGTGGTTAACTGTTAGATCATCCTCTGGGTGAACGATATGCGCCAAAAACAGCTTTAATTAATTGTTGGTTACAACGTTTGCTCTCATTTTGACTGAAATTTGTGAAAAAGTGCCATAGTGTTTTACCTGAGAAACTATTACTATTATATACTTGCCTACACCGATCGGTTGAAATAAAATGACAGCTATCGAAAAGTTTTAAAAAAAACCCACAGCGACTTATAGTGTGCGAACAGAAGTTTACCTTTTCAGTTGATATCATTTCCTTCACGTTCCCCAGTGGAACATAGGGCTTCAAGCTAGTGGCTTGAAGTTTCTGTAGCAGTGTTTACTTTTACAGGATGGGGTTGCTAGCCTCATGCCCAACCTTCCTCTTTACCAGGTTTTATTACTGGCTAAGTGAGGTAGGGAGTGTGTCGGCCGGGATCGAACCTCGGACCATGTGCATGGTCGGCGAGCGTCCTAACCGCTGCGCCACCGACCCAAAAGTTGCTACCTTGACGTGGTGGTCGGGCTTGAACACCGCAATGACCTAATCAAGCTATACTGGCTGAGACTTATGTCTCTTGAGGTCCTACCATGCCAGGCAGGTTGTTTGGATAGCGGTTAAACAAAAAGCAGCTACCCAATCCAACATCATGTCCAATACAAAATCACAAAATTTCATTCCGCATCGGCCGTGACCCGGATTAACAACGACCGCGCTTCCTGCTGCCATGTCACAGGGCAGGAGTGATAAGTATGCTACTGAGGCACACCCAACAAAAGAGAACGAACAAAAACAGGCCACGTGTGCCCGGCCTCAAGTAGTTGTCCCCTGCGTTTTGCGGTCACGCAACCAACTTCTACGGTATGGGCAGCCGGGAAGTAACAATCGCCCTCACAATCCGAAACGAACGCGAAACCTCTCTGATATCATTTCACCTTGTAAGTGAAAATTGATACTCGTTTGGCACTTTTTGTACAGTAGATAGCTGAGGCAAGCAATGACTACATATACTTGCACGTGTTACATACGCCTAGCCATCGCCTGGTTCCTCGACAATCGGCAATGTTAGTTCATATGGGATGGATCAGGTTACAGACGAGCTGGTGGGGGTCAGACCAAAACATGAATTCATCAGTCAATGAAATCCACAACGGTTAGTTTAAGCCACATAGGAAGGTGTAGAATGGTTGCTTCATGCTGGAGTCCTCGGGATGCTAAGAACCAATGAAGGCTGGAAACAATTGGTGATATGACTCAAACTCATCGTTCTCAATGGCTTGCGCAGGTCTATTCACTCTTCAATTGTTCTTCCGTATCACTATTCTTTTTCCCTCACACTTTTGTGTATTATGTCGCCTGTGAATTTCTCTTCAATCTCTTCTCTTGGTTTGGGTGCCACAAGGAGGGAATGTGGCAACTCGAACTGCTGCACATCTGTGCAAAGTTCCATGTTGAAACTAGTTAGTCAGTCAGTCATTTGCGAAAATGTAAGTACTTTTGAATAAATCATCCTCAGATTATTGATCAAGGCCACATCTAAAACCATAGTTGTTGTTTTTTTAACAGATAGTGAAATCATATATCAAACATTCTAAAATTATCGAAAACATCAGTAACTCAGAAACCATCTAACAGAACTGAATCGTTGATGTTACATAGTTAGAGGTAATCAGCCAAAGGAAGCCTTGGACCTAGGTTTCGAGCTAGTTGGTACTCACCGGTCAGTCAGCAAACCGTATCTGCAACCAGCTTGAAGGAACTCATGTCGCTTCTGAGATTCGAACCCGTGTCACCCAATGGTGACCAAACTGCAAACCTGACTGATAGAATTCCGCCTGCACCAAACAAAAGACTAGACACATCACACTAGTTACTAGTGTTCAATCAAAGAACCAAATCGTCTTATTTGTGCCAACAGAAGTACCGGAAGCTGAGTAGGATAACGCCGATAATACAAGCAGATCTCTGTTGGATGCATGGATAGATGGGACGAAGCCATACAATATAGGTCTCGTGCCTACTCGTACTCCTTCGCTACGCGCTTATCTGAAACCAAAAAGGAAGTGATGTCTCAACAGGGACTCGAACTCGCTACACTTAGGGCAGCCAGTGACTGCTTATACCCCTGAGTAGGATACACTGATGAATCACTAGGGAGAGAGAGAGAGATAAAGCATGAACTATAGTCAAATTCTTATTCCGAAAGAAAGTATGAATAGAGTTGATAGAATACAATGTCGTTGAATGTCGAATGCTGCAAGACGTCAAGTCGACATAAAAGGCTTAATTTGTTCCTAGGGATGGCAATGAAGCAACAGGGGTATAGAAAAGTAAATGAACATAAATGATGCGTCGGTGGTCCAACAGTAGAATGCCAGCCAACCATGCCCCACATGGTCCGGAGGGGGGGTTCGATCCTTGACCGAGACACACTCTTAAACCTCGCTAAGCCGGTAGTGAGGTCGATAACGAGGGGAACTTCTGAACTTTACCTTGAAGCACTATGTTCCACTTGGGAAACGTAGAGGAATAAAATAAATAATAATAATAAAATGGTAACAAATGACACTAGTATAATTACCTCTTCTAACAGCAAGTGGGCTGATATTTTTCTTCACTTTATTTTCAGTCGATATTTGACTTGTACTATTTTCATCAGCTGGAACAACAGACTCAGAAATGGAATGAGTTGATTTTCTAGTAGATTTACAATTTACAGTCCAGTCAGTTAAAGATTTTTGAATCAAGCGTTTAGCTGATTTGCCTACTGTCGTTGATGTTGTTGCTGTTATTGTTGTTGTGCCATTATTATTACCATTATCACCATCATCATTACTGACAGCTTGACATTTTCCCGGTGACGAATAAGGCGATGGCGACAACGGCCGTGGAGGAGGCTCCGACTTTGATAAAGCTGGAGAAGTAGGTTTAACTGTTTGCAGCATATCACCAACAGCATCATTACTATGTTTTACAGGTTCAGGTGATTGTTGAAAAGAGAAAGACAATGGGGCTATAAGATAAGCACCGCTGACATTAGCTGCTTTCTTCATCCAGTCTATTTCATGTTGAGTTAATTGATCACAAATTTGAATAGAACGCAGTCTTGGATCTAAGTCCATACACGAATTATTATCAGATTGTGAACATATTGGACAGGTCCACATACCTAAAATAGTTGAATTACACACACATACATACATATGATGATGTATATATTTACAGAGCATGAGAATTTCTACAGACATTAACTACTCTCCGACCATAACCACTAAAGTATAGTTCTAATTGGCAGCCATACACACACATGCATGTCTGTGTCCTAGACTGTACTTATAGCGCATAAGCTATAATACCTGACTGTACACTCCCTACCTAATTTAGTGGAGCACAATTATGAAGTTAATATACTGAATTCGTCTGGAATGACAAGGAAAGCTTCACAGTTAAACGATTTTGCTTTAAAGAACACCACACAACTGAAATTAGCAATATCATAACTTAGTAAGTGCATCGGTGGCACAGCGGTTAGCATGCTCGCCTACCATACATATGGTCCGGGGTTCGATCCCCGGCCGACACCCTCCCCTACCTCACTTAGCCAGTAATAAAACTGGTAAAGAGGAAAGGTTGGGCATGAGGCTAGCAACCCCATCCTGTAAAAATAAATACTGCTACAGAAAATCCAAGCCTCCAGCTTGAAGCCCTATGTTCGATTGGGAACGTGAAGGAAATTTAAAAAAATAACTTAGTAGCACCCAATTATGAATTAAGGTACATTCAAGCTAAGTCACGCAGAGACACACACAGACACACACAACAGAATGAAAGCTAATTAGAAACTATCAAATATGAAGAAAAGTTGCAGAAACTACATTTCTACGTAAAAATAAGCAACACTATGACAATGTTGAATTATGTTAGATATTAGTACTTTGACTGAATGTGAGCTTTTGTCACGTAACTATTGGAAAACTTGGGAGTACTGGACAGTTGTTCCGTCCCAGTTTGGGACTCTTCATCAGCGCACGCCCACAAGGGTTTGAATCCAGGACCTTCTGGTTACGACGCGAGCTCGCAGACCATTAAGCCACTGGGACCCCATACAATGACCCATGAATTCTAACTTCTGCCAATTCATGACATAGTGTGTAACCACCACTTAGCAATGTCTTCTTTGATGAGTTACCCAGAGGTCCTGGGTTCGAACCCCGCCCAATGGGTGCGCACTGCTGAAAAGCCCCGAACTAGGACGAAACAACCGTCTTGTACTCCCAGGTTTTCCTATGGTTCTCTAACTAATGTCAGCTCATAATAAAATCCCTCAACCAATCAAACAAACAAAATCCCTACAAAACCAATACTTGAAACATTTCAATCGATTAACCATCACATCTGTACTATGCTTTCTATCTCTCCTGTTAGGCAATAAAAACAGATTGGTTATTATTGTGGTTAGGCGTCCAGTATTAGGTACGGAGAGTAAGTCAATCAATGAGGTGAAGGTGAGTCGACTGAGATGTCTGGGACGCGTGTTAAGCATGTTGAACTATCAACTTCCTCGACGAACAATCTTAGCTAGAAAAAAGCTAGTGGTAGTCAAACCAAAACCTATCTTCATCAGTCAATAAAATCGTTAACAGTTAACTTGAGTCAGCCTCATAGGAAGGTGTATACTCCTTGGTTGGGATCCTTGGGATTCTACGAACCAATCAATGTCTGGAGACGAATAATTGCCGATATGGTTGAAAATCGTTCTCAACGGTGCAGATGCATCCACCCTTTGTGATATGCCGTATCTATTATACCCTGTTGTTGTTCTTCTATGTTATTATACTTTCGTCCTAATATTTCTGGTTATTATCGTTCTTTCGATAGGCTTGTTTATCTCTCTTGTCTTTGGTGTTTTACACGGAATATGGAAACCCAGATTGCTGTAAAGTTCTATTTTGGAACCATTTAGTCAGTTAGACATCTGTACTAACTGCTTAACCCCTTAGTTTACCTACATATCCAACTTGAACATCTCTACTCGCTACTCTATAGTCCACCTCCTATATGAAAAATGGATGAAGCTAGCCATATAACGAATACCCAGAAATGCGTCACCTTAGGCAATCAGTGGACTCCCCTCTCTCACCCTCACATCAGTCTAGCAGCATAACAAGATGACAACTGCAATGAATGTATCCAACCTGTTCGAAAACGAACCAATCAATTCTATCCTTAATAAACGGCTACTATTCTTATCAGCTAGTATAATGGACTAATGTTTATAAATGCTCCAATTTTAAAATTTCGAATTCTAGAACTCTCAATCATCCATTTAAGTACACACACACACACACATCTTACTCATCCCATTATTTTATAACCACTAATCAGACCGGTGAGGTATTCAATTGGAAAATTGTGGAATATCCCCAGCTGACAGTTTATATTTGGCATAGGTCTGTCAGCATAAAAAATGATGTTTTCCTGGACAAGCTAGTCAGTAGTCCAATGGTAAAATACGCTTGTCAACCATGTACATGATGCAAATCGATTTCCGACCACTGCAGCACTACAAAATCTCGTCTAGTAAGCCTGGGGAGAACGTTACCCTAGTCGAGTGAAAAAGTCATTTCAACGAACAGTCTAACTAGTGTAGAGATAAATCATACTCTGTTGGTAACTAGAATGGTAACAAGTTAGTGAAATCTAAAATGCATGTTTTAATATGCCAGTGTTGGCTAAGCCGTATCAGTGTCCCTAGGAGTGAATCCGATGAAGATAAAAGAGCATTACCTTCACCACCACGTTAATGGATCATGCACAGGATGTAATAAATGTACTTTTAAACCTACTACTGTGGTGAGAGCTGTCTGCAAGCCAAAATTGGTAGACAACAAATCACGGTCATGAGAAAAGAAAACAATAACAACGCTTAACCTTGAGGAACTCAACAACCAATCACAACAGACAATTCGCGGATACACGGCTTAACTTTCTAAGAAACGGTCACAAGCAGTACAGAATAACCTTGAGCAGGAAAACAACCAATCAGAAGACGCTGCCTCCTGCTAACAATAACAAGTAATAATGTACATAAAAATCTATAAATATCTCTTGATGTTCTCAATTAAACGATCTGTTGCCTGACCCTTGTCTTCTGTCGTTACACTACTAACTACTAGCTGAACCCGAGATGAATATCTGAAACAAACGTCTACTTACCTTCAGGAGGCTCTGACATATCCGGTTCAGCACACTTTAGGTGAAAGCCTCGATCACAAACATCACAAAGTAGTAAATCGGATTGAGTGTCTTCTTTGTCACCTGTTGAATTCTGACTGTCTGCATTTGGTTGACATAAACAACACCGTTTACAGTCGACACAAAGCCATCGTAATTGTGAAATACGAGCGACCAGATCTGGTGGCATTTTTAGACAAGTAGGATGACCTAAAAGATTTTAGTTTAAAAGAGAAAGAGAAAAGGAAAATTAGACCAATAAATAAAGTAATAATACTAATCATTACACAACTTTTCAGAACTGAACTTTTAATTTTTTCTAGTTCAAAACAGAGAGAAAAGTTCCCACCCCCCCCCCGAAGAAAAATGAACAAAATAGGTGGAACAGAAGTGGGTGTCGACCACTAATCAGGCTTTGAAACAAGTCACCTACCTAGCTCTTTTAATAACAAAATTTCTAATGTTATGAGGATGTCGGAATAGAAATCTACTTTAGTTTCTGTGACACAAACACACACACTAAGAAGGTTGAACTTCTACAAATTATACCCGCAGGATTGATAATGTAACCAATTAAAAATACCGGGTTAAGTAACTCGTAAGAGGGTGGTCAAATTGGTTAAATATCGATTCTCTGTCGAATGTTTAGATATATTCACGCAACAAACTGGCGATCGATTGTCGCACTTCTCAAAAGTAAAATTCTGTCTGTCTGTTTTCGACATAGAACTTTGCAACAGTTCAAGTCGCCACACTCCCTCCTTGTAGCACGCAAAGCAAGAGAAGAAAGAAGAAATGCATATTAGAGGCAGTAAACAGAGGTGTGAGACAAAAGCAATAGTAATAACGAAGAACAATATAGTTTAATTGGGTATTATAAGTCACAAGGAGTGGATGTATCTGCACCATTGACAACGATGAGTTTGAGCCATAGCACCAATTGTTTCCAGCCATTGGTTTTTACTGTCCAGAGGACCCCAACATGGAAGTCTACACCTTCCTAAGTGGCTTAATTTAACTGTTGTGGATTTCATTGACCCTTGAGGCCATGTTTTGGTTTGACCACCACTAGCTAGCTCTTTTCCAGCCTTCCTAAATAAGTGAAGCGTCAACATGCTCTACCACTCCATTCCCTAGGAGTCAGTGTAGTCCAGTCCAGTCTTGTAACATCATCTTACATTTGGCGGGAGAGAATCGCATGCCAAGCATTCGTAGATTGCAGCTCAAGGTGTTCGGAAGACTCTACATTTTGTCAGCCTCTTCACGTAGGAGGACTATATTGTCTGCATATTCTAAGTCAGTGAGATTATTCCCTGGTAGCAAGTCAATGTCTGAGTCTCTGAAGTCAGTTAAGGTTAAGTCTATTAGTACATCTATGATGAAGTTGAATAGAAATGGGGATAATGGGCATCCTTGACGGACACCAGTGAACAGTGGTGGTGACAAAGGCAAAGAGATGGAAAAAGCATCGCGATAGGCAACACTAGGCAACTCTTTAGACTCATCAGAAACGGGTGGGAGAAGGCAAATCATAAGTGAGACTATTTCTGAGAAAAATGGCTCCTTAATTAGCTCTCAGGATAGACGCCTTGAACGCTGGAAAGAACACTTTGAGGACAATTTAACTTGCCTACAGCCACACTGAACCTCCCCGCCATCCACACGTACCCGAATGGGATATAGACACTGGTCCGCCGTCTGTAAGTGAGGTCACAAAAGCTATCAGTAATTTGAAACGAGGCAAAGCGGCAGGACCCGACGGAATTATTCCGGAGGTGTTTAAATATGGGGGTGACATACTAGTTTGTAGATTAACTGAGGTACTAGGCAAAGTCTGGGAATCAGAGACAGTGCCATCAGACTGGGGTAAGTCACTTATTATACCGATATTCAAGAAGGGAAACAAGTCCTCGTGTGATAATCATAGGGGGATCAGCCTAACGAACATAGTCTCTAAAATCCTAGGCTCAGTAATCATGCATAGACTAAGCAGAACTCGGGAGGAACAGACAAGGGAAAATCAAGCAGGCTTTAGACCAGGTAGAGGGTGCATAGATCATATCTTCACTCTTCGACAGATTCTAGAACATAGACACACTTTTCGGCGTCCAACAATTGTCATATTTCTTGACTTGAAGGCGGCCTTCGACTCCGTGGATCGAAAGGTACTATGGCAATGTCTGACTGTGAAGGGAGTGCCAAGAAAGTACATTGCACTAATCAAGGCACTCTATTCAAACTCACGTAGTCGTGTAAGGGCTTATGGGGAATTGTCATCTGAATTGGTAACAACCAGTGGTGTCCGACAGGGATGTCCACTTTCCCCATTTCTGTTTAACTTCATCATAGATATGCTAATGGAAGTATCCTTAACTGAACGTAATGACTTAGGAATCGACTTGTTACCAGGGAATAGTCTTATGGACTTAGAATATGCAGATGACATAGTCCTGTTAGGGGAGGATGCTGACAAAATGCAGAGTCTTCTGAACACCTTGAGCAGCAATCTTCGTATGTTTGGCATGCGATTCGCCCCTGCAAAATGTAAGATGCTGCTACAGGACTGGACCACGTCAACTCCTAACTTAGTGATAGGGAGTGAAGTGATAGAACATGTTGACCACTTCACCTACTTGGGAAGTTGTATTAGCACCAACGGACTGATTGGCGATGAAATCTCAGCACGGATCCGAAAAGCTCGAGCTGCTTTCGCTGACTTACACCATCTCTGGCGTAGGCGTGACATCCGGTTATCAACCAAGGGACGTGTGTACTGCTCATCAGTTCGCTCCGTCCTTCTCTATGGCTCTGAAACATGGCCAATACGCGTTGAAGACATGAAAAGGTTGACTGCTTTCGATCATAGATGTCTGCGATCTCTGTCTCACGTTAGGTGGTTTAATAAGGTAAGTAATGTTGACGTTAGGCGTAGAGTGTTGGGCAAAGAGGGAAAATCAATCGACGAGGCTATAAAGTTACATAGACTAAGATGGCTAGGTCACGTGCTGCGCATGCCTAACCACCGCCTCCCCCGACGGGCATTGCTAGCTGATATAGGTGCAGGTTGGAAAAGAGCCAGTGGTGGCCAAACAAAAACATGGCATCAATCCATGAAATCCTTGACAGTTAAACTGAGTCAGGTAGGGAGATGCAGACTCCCGGGTTGGGGCCCTCGGGACTCTAGGAATCAATGGCTGGAGACAATAGGTGACATGGCTCAAAATCGTTGTCAATGGCCAGCCCAGATGTATTCAGTCTCTGTAATCTTTCATATTCCTTTCTACCATTACCCATTCTGTTTCACTCTTATACTTGTCAAACTCTATTGATTCTCTTCACTCATCTTCTTGTCTACCTCTGTGTGCTATTTGGAACGTGGCAACTCGAACTGCTGCACTTCGGTGCCAAGTTCTATGTTGAATCCAGACAGACAGATTAGTCGTCACCAGTTCAGATGACAACTCGCCGTAAGCCCTCACCTGGCTGCATGAGTCCGAGTAGAGTGCCTTGATCAATGCAATGTATTTTCTCGGAATTCCCTTTACAGCCAAGCATCTCCAGAGAACTTCTCGATCGACAGAGTCGAATTCCGCCTTTAGGTCAAGAAATATAATGATTGTTGGACGCCGGTAGGAATGCCTATGTTCTAGAATCTGTCGAAGGGTGAAGATGTGATCGACACACCCTCTTCCTGGTCTAAAGCCTGCCTGGCTCTCTCGTGTTTGTGCCTCCCGAGCACCACTTAGTCTGCGCAATATTACTGAGCATAGGACTTTAGATACTATATTAGTCAAGCTAATCCCTCTGTGATTATCACAGGAAGACTTGTCTCCTTTCTTGTATGTGGGGATAATCAGTGACTTACACCAACCCGATGGGATTTCCTCTGATTCTCAGACGCTGCCTAGTACCTCAGTTAATGCAGACAGTAAACTGTCTCCACCGTACCTAGGGAGGTGTAGACTTTCAGGATGCTAAGAACCAATGTAGGCTGGAGACAATGGGTGATACATGGCTCAAAATCGTTCCCAATGGCGCAAATGCATCCAATAAAACTATCTAGTTCTTCCGTATTCGTATTTCTGTGTATTACCTCTATTTTCAATCTCTCTCTACTCGCTTCTCTTCCTTTGTGTGCTACAAGGAGGAAGTCCGGCAACTCAAACTGCTGCAGATCCGTGCACAGTTCTGTGTTGAAACCAGTCAGTGTCTCCATTGTCTCATTCACCGTTGAAAAAGAACACCCGCTAGTAGACTAATACGAACATAAATAAAGAAACAACGAATAGAGGCATGCGTATGCTTTAAAAGTATATGATAAAATATGGACACATGAATCATAACATATTCACACTGCAATGTTTATTAATAAAGGGAAAACTAGTTTATACCTGACTGTCCACATTCCCAACAGGCGATCATATCCTCCGGGACTTGAGTTTTATTGTTCAATTCTGCTGTACCCAAGCATAGACCACAAATTGGAATCACCTTTGATGGTCTCCGTAATCGCTGGTGAAAAGAAACAAAAGGGATATAAAACTGAGGGATATAGGGAATAGATAAAATCACTTAATGCCCACTGATTACAAGTCAATCAAAATCACAGTTCCAAAGGACAATAAATACGATAAATTTAAAAATTAAATAATTACTACTTAGATAACACGATGAATTTGTAAAGAAAAACACCTTCATCGATCGACATTAATTTCATTAAACCAACTACCCTGCAGAAGGAAACGACGATAGATCCGGCGTACGCTGGGGGATATCTTCAAGTGAGACTATACTACAAGCACTGGAGTGCAACCCAGATGGGAAGTGACGAGTTTGGCGTTCGAGGGTGACACGGATATCATGTAAGGAAGTGATGAGACCTTGCAGGCAGGCTGGCTGTGGAGCCAAGTGAAGAAAGTGATGACAGAGAATAAAGTTCATTGGAAAGGTGCCGTTGTGAGGCTTTATGTCCTACCCCGAACACAAGGGACGAACAACAATAATAACTACAATGCAGATGATTAGAACATTTCTAGTTGTTAAGGCCTCCAAGAAGTATTCATCAAGCAAACTTTGCTTTCGTAATTTGAAACTGTATCAACTGGTATAACTCACTTGAATGTCTTATATATGATAGGCAGTGACGATACAACGGAAATTAATCCAGCAGTACTGTATAGACAATATTCCCATAAGACACAGAAAACAACTCCACAACAAGTCGTCTTTGAATCATAACTATGGTTAGCAACATGCACATTAACTATATGTTCAAATTAGATTTCTACACCATCTATTGAAGAAAAAAGATGGTATTGCAATGGGATCTCCGTTGGGTCCACTACTATCAGATTGCTTCGTGGCAACCCTCGAGAAAGGTCCACTAAAGCCGAGCATTGACAATTTAAGACTGTATGGCAAAGTTAAATTCCAAGCACCACTAACTGTCAATCAGCAAATGACCTCGAAAGCACCAAACATGTGAAGGAGGTATTTTTGTGTATGGAACACATATATTAATGAAAAGACTGCATAAAAACTGTATCAAAGTGTTACAGAAGATAGTTTCCTATCACATGGGATAAAAAATAGTTCTCAGGTTTAGGTTGGTGAATCAACAGAGTATAATTCCAGTGTGGATAAAATTTAATTTGGTTAAGTTTCATAGTGTTACACAGCAATATTTAATGAGCAATGGATTATGCTCGAAACGTGGTCATCAGTAAATATTACTGTATAACACTGCGAAACTTTATCAGAATAAATTTTACCCACAATCGAATTGAACTATAACACAGTGCACAAGTTCTATTCTTATTTCAACAGAGAAATTTAACCACATGCTATGCATGTCATTACTTAGGTCTTCTAACCCTAACCCTAACAACCCTAATCTTTCCTGAACCTAAACCTAACGTGAAAATATTCCTAAACCAATTGTAATCCAACTAGAACCAAACCTACTGTCGCCTTTGTTAGATTAACTTAACCCCAACTTGTCCTTGACTCGAAGAGTAACTTCATCTTTCCCAAACCTAAGCTGAAACTTGCCAGATATCGTATTTAATAGCATAACACTTCGATGAGCATATTTTATTGATGATGACAATATTATTTACCGGATTCCACTAATTTGCTCAGTGAGTTTTTCAAGGTTATCGGTGCGGTCGCACTCCATTGATAGTTAGTTAGTGATGCTTAAAGTTTAACTTGGCCGACTGTATAAAAGACACACATATTCATTATTTGTGACAACAATAATGACCCTAATCTACTGCTGCAGGCAACTACCTGTTGCCTATCAGCAAAAAAATTCACTCTTGAAATGGAAAACGAATCGAAAATTCCCTTTCTTCTTCATGTGAAACTAACAAAGAGAATTGATGGGACCTTAAGAAGATCGATCCATAGAAAAGCTACTTGGAATGGTCAAATAACAAGCTTCTATAGCTGCGTATTCATTCAATAAAAGCAGAGTTTAATAAAATCCATTGTCACCCGCATCCAATTCATCTGTAGTCCCGATGTTTTAGAAACAGAATCTTTTGACAGAAATCTTCATCCAAAATCGATAACCACCAAGATGCATTGATAAAAATATCAAACCAAAAGTTTGGAGGAATGAAACTTCACTTGCGCCGAAAAATAAACTCTACATGAACTTGGATTTCAAGGGAGATTCAACAAGTGATATTCTCAAGAGAAGAACATTCTTTGCAGCAACGCTAGGAATAGTGTTCCCCAGTCGCCCACTGTTCTGCAGAAGCCTCAAGGACAATATCACGCATCTGACCACTTCTATGTGCATATATCAGTTCATCTGCTGCTGCGGAGCCAGCCAGATACATCGGTCGTTCGATGCGCACCATATCTTAAAGTATTCAAGAACACTATCCAGCATGGTTTCGAGAAGGCAATAGTGGTGCTATAGGGAGTGCGATAATTGAACAACGCCTGGTTAACACTGATCACTCCATCTCAACAAACGCCTCCTGCTTCAAAATAATCTACAGAGTCAAGAATAACCCATCTAAGTCAATACGGTTTCCTTTTCTTTGTATCCTGAAGCTCTGACCATTCACATAGAAAAACCGGACCTGTGCATACAAAAGAGAATTACTCAACCACTTCTATTATCATGGTAACAACTTCCTTGATCTTCCATGACTTAATTTTTTGTTTGCTTACCTGTTTCTTTAATTGCTTATAATTCTTCTATTCATCTAGAACTCTTATGTAATTTCGTATTCTCTACTTTGTTCCTATGTGTATCCCGACTGAGTGCAACTCAATCATCACTATTCATATTATTACGTAACTTCTTTTTAAAAACTATTTGTGGCAACTCATCACCTTTGTGATTGCACACCAGTTTCATTAACACTCAATTTTCTTGACCGTTTTTGTATTACGTAGCTCTACCCAAAACTTACTCATTTTCACCTGTTTAGTTAAAATAACCATAACCGATTGTATTTTTGTTTGATGTTCACTTAATGTTCACACACATGCATACAAAATAACTCATATACATATTTGCGATTGTGCAGCTAATAAAATGAGTTCGTCGCTGAAAAGAGACTCTTCGCTGAACTACATGTTTTGTTTTCATTAATTACAACAGTCAGAAATATAGATTGACTAGGGTATGGGGATTAAAAGTTAACAATTCAGCATCATATTCAGAAAAAGCAATAGAGCCTTCATCCTAACAGATAACTAAAAGCAAGTCATTACACTAAAGCATAGTGGTGGTTAGAGACAATTAAATTTCTGCATAGAAAATCTTTAGCAGCGGCTTTTCCTTCTCCTTTACGTTCCCAGTGGAACATAGGGCGGCTTCAAACTACAGACTTGGAGTTTCGGGAGTAGTGGTGTTTATTCATTTTTACGGGATGGCGTTGCTAGTCGCCCCATGCCCAACCTTCCCCTTCTATCAATCTTATCACTGGCTTAGCATCGGTGACACAATGCTTAGGACTCTCCCCGACAATGCACATGGTCGGAGGTTCGATCCCCTGCCGATGCACATTTGATATCTATTGTCGGCCTGCAAAATTTGGGCTACCGATATCGCATGCTGAAAATTCCATACTTGTACCAAAAATACGGTGTGGAATCAAGCTGTAACCAAAAAATAAAATAAAAAGGGAGTACATCGGCCGGGGATCGAATCCCGGACCACATGCGTGGTCGGCGAGAATTCTATCACAGTAGCGGTATATACCCATTATATAGAAGTAAACTGTACATCAGTTGGGAGATATCTGGTTTGGGGAACTTGAAAATCCCCATTGAGTCATATTAAAGAAAAGATGGCCAGCAAAATGTTACGCTTTTCGGAGATATCATTCTCAAGTTGTACAATCGCATGCATATTTAGTAGATTTTCTTAGCAACAAAAGGAGTATTTCCAAAGATGTTTCAGCAAAATTGTAAATTTTAGATGACAGACTGCTTAATGTAGAAAGGGTTAATCGGGTATGAAATAAAATAACACTAAATAAGTAAGTCGAGCCACGTAATACAACTGACATTGCCTCATCAATGTGCATCTATCAATTTACCTTCTCGTGTGAAGCTAGGTATATATCAGCTGTACCTGGCGTTCACTTTCCAAACATATCACAGCGAACACTTACTCTCATGGTTTTATCGGGAAGAGAAAACATCTCCCCGCAGCTCTATGTTGGAACACCCGGTCTAATCTGGACACCGAGATAGCCCACAAACCAACTTCAAAGTTATCTACAGTATATGTGGGAATCTTGTTACAAGAGTATGGATGAAACTTCATCAAATCGCAGAAGCAATGGCAATTCACAAGTTAAATCACGAACTCTGCATGCAGAAGTCTCTTCTAAATATACAATCAACCTGATGTATCTTAACACTAGATACGTAATTTTTGTTTTGCTTTTTTGTTTCTTAACTGTATTATTTTCTTCCTTCACCCCACATTGAATTCCTACCCCTTACTACCACTGTTGTTCAATTCTAATTGAATTCTACTCAACTGCATCAATTTTATTACGTGGCTCGATTTATTTATTTATTTAATCTTATTTTAGTTCCTACCAGATTAACGCTTTCTACATTAGGCAATCTATAAAACACAAAGCAATCTGTCACCTAGTGGTGTGAAACTCAGTCAGTTCGTCACTACATTAGTAGATAAGCATCTGAATACATACGAAAAATGGTCTAAAACCATACTCTACGATCCCCAACACCCCGTCTATTCTCAACTCTCTCCTTGTATCTCATCAGGTAGAACCAGAAATCAGTACAAAATAATATATGCTCGTACAACCAAGTACAGGAACTCAACGATACCATATTTGGCCCGTGTTCTAAGTGACAGAGACAGTGTTAAGCGCGAAACCTATGACTTGCTTTGTTGTTAATAACATAATTTTGGCCCTTGTTATTTCTCCCTTATTCTCTCTTATTTGTATTCTATAGTGAACACCTTCTTAAACATACTTAGCTATCTAAATTATTACCAGTGGCTTACTTTTTTGTACTTTATTCTATTCCTTCTTTTGTGTATCCACTGGTTCCGAAAACATTAGCACTATGAGTATTACAAAATTATCCTGTCATTAATCATCATGTAATATATTAGTTTTGTGATTGTTGAACTAAATTATTTTGTTTTAATGGCTTCACAGGATCCTTTAACTGACACCGAGGGAGAGGGCTCTCGAGTGGTTGCGTCACAGGTTGATCCTGCATGCCGTTCTCGTCTCGCAAGAGGCAAGGATGCGTGTGTTTGGTTCTCCTGAAAACCAATACCCAGTCAATGGGTGTATCGTGGTTTGTGACTGTTGTTTTTTTGTTCGGCAATATTAACTAACAATCTTGGTTGTGAACGCCATTATCATCATCTTAAAATTTTGTATTATGCAGGATTACTCGCACTACCACTACAAACACCGCATTAGAGCTGAAAATCTAAACTTGAAATGTTTATTTTATGATTGTTTAGTGTAATTCAATCAAAATAACTGATCATCTTGGCTATAAACATTCTTTATAACATTTCATAACTTCTTGTAGGATTATAGCTGTTACTGTTCACCACGCATAAACATATCATAGCTTCCACTACCCAATACTGAGATATTATTTCTTATGTTGTTTATTTTCCTTTCTACATCTTGGTATTTTTTTGCATTTTTCTTGCTATTTTGTGTTTTTTTGTTGTTTTTGCTGTTGTTGTTTTTATATTTATTTTTTGAAATACTCCTTTTAAATGTTTGATAAAAATTAGATGCAATATTGTAGATATGTGCTGAAAATTCCACACTGTGCCACTAGTACTGTTTCTGGAATAAAGAAAAATTATTATTATCTAAAATTTAGAATTCTGATGAAACATCTTCGGGAATATTCCCTGTTGGTGCTAAGAAAAGTTACTATATATGCATGCGACAGTACAACTTGAGAATGATATCGCCGACAAGCGTAACTCTTTGCTGGCCGTCTTTTCTTTAATATGACTCAATGGGGATTTTTAAGTTGCCAAAAACCAGATATCTCCCAACTGATGGACAGTTTACTTCTATATAATGGGTATATACCGCTACTGTGGTAGAATTCTCGCCGACCACGCATGTGGTCCGGGATTCGATCCCCGGCCGACGTACTCCTTTATTTTATTTTTTGATTACAGCTTGATTCCACACCGTATTTTTGGTACAAGTATGGAATTTTCAGCATGTTCTTTTATACGACTCAAAGGGGATTTTCAAATTGTTACAACCAAATATCTCCCAACTGACGTACAGTCTTACTGGTTTCGTTTCAGACTATTTTAAAACGTCTATTTGGATACTTGTGTTTTCCTAAGCAATTCTCCTCGTAGTTTGCTTTTCCATTTTGTGGCGGTGAAGGAAGTGAATATGTGTTCAAGACTTGCCCTAAAACTTGCTGAAAAAAGCTTACTCCCGGAGGAATTGGTTGAGGAAACATGAATATCTGAAAACGTTTTAAAAGAACCTCACAAACGAAATCAGATATATCTCAATTCACGTACACTGAGACAACTGTGAGTCCTCGATTACCTGAATTTGAGAAGAATATCTCATGAAACTCTTATGTTCGAAATGAAATATCTACTGATGAAGGAAAGAAAGCTGCTGAACAGGTTCAGGTTGTTCCCAAAAAGATTTTGATATTGAATCTCGAGTTTAAAATGATATTGAGGCAGAAATTCTCCGAAAATGGCTTTTGAAATCCCCTCACTAACACATACTACGTTACTGGTCTACGAACAATACTGTTTTGCAACAAAATGTTCCATCAGAGTATGACAGAAAAGTCGTCAACATGCATATACTCGTCCACTTGCTCCTGTGTAGCTAAATACATCGGCAGCAGCATGCATTCGCTTGTAAGACGCGCCTGGGAACAATATCTAGCCTGGTTAGCGAAGGGAAAACCGGGGGTGTCTATAGTTCGATAACAATATCTCGTGAACACAAGATAATCAGCTCTATTTGACAAATCCTTCAATGGTTTACGCAAGATCCAATCAGACTTCGCAAAGGGGATGGAGCATTAATGACCCGAAAATTTATGTAAACTCTGTGTCCAAATGAAGTGTACGTCCAACCTTCGTCTTTACCAAGTTCATCTTGTTATCCTGAAACTTTCTAATCCCCTTGCTGTGTGACGAGAATTTGTCAGCCTATAATTCCTGTCTGTCTGTCTGGATTCAACATAGAACTTGGCACCGAAGTGCACCAGTTCGAGTTGCCACCTTCCAAATAGCACACAGAGGTAGACAAGAAGATGAGTGAAGAGAATCAATAGTTTGACAAGTCTAAGAGTGAAACAGAATGGGTAATGGTAGAAAGGAATATGAAAGATTACAGAGACTGAATACATCTGGGCTGGCCATTGACAACGATGATTTTGAGCCATGTCACCTATTGTCCAGCCATTGATTCCTAGAGTCCGAGGGCCCCAACCGGAAGTCTGCATCTCCCTACCTGACTGACTCAGTTTAACTGTCAAGGATTTCATGGATTGATGAGCCATGTTTTTGTTTGGCCACCACTTATCTTTTCTAATCTGCACCTATATCAGCTAGTAATGCCCGTCGGGGGAGGCGGTGGTTAGGCATGCGCAGCACGTGACCTAGCCATCTTAGTCTATGTAACTTTATAGCCTCGTCGACTGATTTTCCCTCTTTGCCCAACACTCTACGCCTAACGTCAACATTACTTACCTTGTTAAACCACCTAACGTGAGACAGGGCCTATAATTCCCAGGCAAATTCATACGATTTACTGAACTAGCGTTACTACATAGACAGGAAAACAATTTTAAGCTTACCCTGTTCAACAATCCACGAGGTCTCGTGGAGGAAGTGGACTGTTTCGTTTCAGCGGTATGTGATGGTTCTGATGGTGTGCCTGAAGCAGTTCTTTGTCTTAGACTTCTTTGTCCCGAATGTTTAGAGACACTAGGATAATCAGTAGGGCTTGTACTGACTGGAGAGTTTATATCGTACTGAGTACTTTTCTGAAAATATTCATTTTCATGTTTGACTGAACGAAGATTTTGAGCAGAAAACGGGGGTGAAACAGATTCAGTAGGCGTTAGCTTAACAGGCTCTAAATATGTGTAGTTTACTTCTGGACTCTGTGGAGAAAAACATGATCGCCGCCTTGTATTCATCTTTTCACCATTAATTTGAAATATCTGAAAAGAATAATAAACAGAAAACGATCGGTTACATAACAAATCAGGAGAATTATAATGAAAAAATATTACGATATGTAATGATACATAACCCAGTCCTTTGCATATATCTATTTCAGGTTGTGAACTATATCTAGTGTGGTTTGTTGTACTAGCTAATAGCCAGGCTGTGTCTGAAGCGAATTCAGAAAAGTCACTTTATATTTGGCAGTCAAATGCTCCCACTATTCGGTTACGACGTGTAACAATTGTTAGAATATTAGAATACTATAATGAGCTACTGCTGATTACTAGTCTCTAACAATGTGATTTGGGGAGTTGGTCATTTAGACAGTATTGTTTGCCCTCACAAATCGGATGTCAGCTTGTCACCTAGTGAAAAGTTTGAGTTGAACTCAGAGATCCAGTGCAACTCAATGCATCAGACTACACCTACTGTGAGGGCTATTGAAAATACCTGGATGCCTAAACCTCCTAAGGTGGACTGTGGGTCCAAATACGTGAATTACTTGATGTAAGTCAAATCCCAGTCCCAAATTTAACCTAAAAGCCTAAACCTTTTGAATAAGGCGTTCAAGAATAAGTCGTAACAACAGAATGAACATTAAATATCTGATGACTTATTAGATAAAACATTCTGGATACATAGGCTAATTATTCTGTGAAACATTGTTTAGTTTTAAACCATTGACCTCAGATGTTTCAGAATACACTTTTCAATAAAATTAAAACGAAGCTGGAGAGTATAAATTCGTTTAACTTTATGATTCAACAACCCCCAACTTTTTTCCTACTTAATCTCACTTACAGTAATGGAATGTAGCTGTATATAGCTGGTCTTAATTAAATAAACACCGAACCCGATATTAAGGTCTGTTGTAAGGACTATATCTCAGACTGATAAACCCATGCATGCAACCAAAACATTTATGCACTGGCAAACATGACACGGCATACGTACTCTTAACAAATGCAATACAGGACCAGTTTAGCTAACTAAACTACAATCTACTTATTTATCCGTGTAACAATCCAATGCACACAACCGCAAGGTTTAAAGGACCAAACAAACAACAAGGTGATCTGAAGACTATTTGATAATGCGTTGATCACACGAATGTGTGCAAACAAGCCAGCAAAACACCTATCAAGAAACTAATTGCAGTGAAGGTGACCACTGCAAACCACTGCCATTCTAAACACATCACGTTAAAAAATAGAACCGCGTATAGACGTGCATTCAATCAATACATCACACTTAGACACACAACACAAAGTGAACAGAAAGTAGGTGATGTTGCAGTGAAAATACGTGAGGTTAGGAGACAAAATTATTTCATAATAGATGAAAATATCATAAGTGAAGTGAATAAATGTGCCCTGGTGGGAACAACAAGACTATTTTTTCATAGTAGTAGTGAAACAATGGCAGTAGAAAACGCAGCCCATAAGCTACCAATTTCATTCCTATCATGACTTATATCCGTATACACCATGCACTAGTGCCATGTTCCAGAAAAATTACTTCTAACCATCAAGATATTGAATCATCAAGTAAGTCACATTTCAATATGAGACAACTTGAAATCCCCTCTATTCTGAAACTTTTAGGTGAATTATATATAAACTAAACGGAGTTTGAGCCTAAACTCAAAGTGAAAATAGACTCCAAGAGGTAAATGAAGTTATCAAACATCCTAAATAAACTATGAACGTATAACAATAAGGATAAAAACGAGACTAAGCTCATATTTATGACACGGATACCACGAATTCTAAGACTGCAAAACATTTGCCAACTAACCTTCTGGGTATAAACAATAAAAAGGATCACTTCTCACGAATTTTTACAATCAAAATGGCAACCCAGTGTACAATTAAACGATATTTCTTTTAGTAGTAACCTTAAAAAAGTGATAACTGTTGTAGGTTCACGGTAGTCCATACAAAATACGGTTTTGTTCTTACAGCTAACGGTTAATTAGAAGTGCACTTATGTTTAAGTGACACTTACGACCACAATCGAAACAAACAAAAGCAAAATTCATGATAACTATGTGAGATTTCTTTTAAGAAACGTGACAATGGTTAGCTTTGTCCTGAAACAACTGTTCACAAAGGAACTAGAGGTTTGTCTGCACTATTTTAGCGAGAGTTTTTAATGATAATCCGAAACCATAAAAAGAAATTAATGGCAAATAAAACCAAACAGAATAAAACAAAAAAATCACTTGCTAGCCGCCAATTTTCATAAAAGGCGCAAAGTCCTGGTGTAGATATAAAGTGGCAATCTGTTCAAACAAATTGATATCCACGCCGTAAAAGAAGTATCCTTTCAGAACTCATGATATGTACATCAAATTCATACAAACGATCATTTTAATGAGACTAAAAAACCGGTAATTTTAAGAGTTATCTCTATACAGAATGCTGGGAAGTAATATGCTGCATAAGATGTTATTTGGTTATCAATGTTAAAATCACCGTAAATCCTTAAGTTGAGAGTAAATCTCGCGCTAATTTTTTAAAAAAGTTTTCACAGCAAGTGTAGCCGTAACAACATTCCTAACACTTTTTCTAGCTTGCATCTTAGCCGTGATTTTCCGTTAAAAGGGGCACAGAATTAAACTTTCGTTTCAGGAGTCTGTTCAGTCACACACTGCGACCGCTAAATTCAATGCTTTCAAGTTCCACTCTCATTAGTAAGTCTTGATGTTTAAATTCTTTTCTGGGGTTTAAACAAAACAAAATTAGTCAAGAGGAGAAATGAATATACTAAAGATCACTTTCATATTATGCATATATGTGCATATGTAAGAAGCATGCTCAGACAATAATCTCTTACGTGCGCGGTTTTCCATAGGGGAAATCCTCTATCCAATTACGAAACTTGATCCTGCCCAACGATTGCTTCCAAACTGAACTTTTGTGTGGTAAGTTTGGCTCTCCCAAACCAGAGCCCTATATTCTATCGTGGCGATTAGACTGCGGCACTCACTTTACAAAGTTAATCACTACGCTATATTCTCTTATGACCTAGAGCTTCAGATAAAGGAGGTAATTAGCTGTCAAGGAAACCGGTTCTGAAGACCAGAGTGCATACTCTGTACCCTACTAATACGCCTGTGTCGCCCCATCCCAGCAATGAAATTAGAAGGGTCGAACAGGGTGGACACAATACCACAACTGCGCCCACGGGAAGCCTACACATCCTAACGAGAAGAATCATCCAGGAAGTTATAAGACCACCAAGGAGCTTTTTGGGGAAGTGGACAACTGCCGGGTTTGTATTTCTGTCGCCTGAAAAGCAGCTCAGCCTCCGAAAGCAACTTCTGCAAACGGTGAGGGCACTGCCGATATGACAAAGGGGCAATATGAAGTTATGAGAAATAACCCATACCCGCATGCCTGGTGCATATTCGCAACCTCTCGTTCTAACCCAGGCCTGTGTGGTGCTTCTTCGGGAAAGCGCACTGTTAGACACAGCCGAAACCTCTGGCAGGGATATTTCAGCTTTTATTTAAGGACTATGAGATCCATAAAACCGAGGACAGCTGAGGCCACACCTGATAGGCGTTCAACTTGTATGATCGCCAAAATCCCTGCGGTGTGAGTAGAATGCAATTATATTACAGCAATATGACCACCTGCATTCGCTGGCCAATGGGATCCCTGTAGTGCACCACCGAACAGTAAAAACTTGAAGCGGGCCAAGAGCGATTATCATGGAAGGGAAAACAATCAGCCTAAAACTGAATGTGACCCATAGGTCAGTCAACCAAATTGTCCCATCCTGTTCAACGTACGAATATGCAGCAGCCATCTTCTTAAAAAGGCCCTGTTTGACTATGAACAGATGTTTAACTGACGCAACAAGCATAGGCTTGGAATCCAACTCACAGGGTTGTGTAGACTGCACAAAGGTGCTTTGTGACCAAAAGGTAAACAACCCCCACTAAGGGTAACACCGAGTTACGCTGAAATCACCCAGAATGCATTTTACTCCCCGAGTTGTAGATAGAAAAAGGACTTCCACTGTAACAATACGACCCAAGAGGCCACCGAAACTAATATCCTTCATGGAGCAACCCTAACTCTCACCCTTCTATATGTTCACCACGGCTACCAGCCGTTAAATTTAGCTCCTTTTAATGTAGTGCTCAAACGACGGTACGGAATCAAAGGCAATGTTGACTGACATACCCATCACTATGGGAGCTGAACTCAAACCATAAGGACACAGCAAGCTGAGGTTGTAATGTATTCTCATGCTTCAGTGGCACAAAACTGAAGAGGGCAACAACCAACGTTTCCCCAGCGTGTAGGTGGAACCTGAAGAAAGGATGACAAAGGACCGGTTTTACTGAAACCTGTAAACTGGTTCGAAAACTATTTTCACACTTGACATCTTTCTGAACAGTGAGACTCAGGCAAGTTACTGCCAGAAAATCCCTGGCAAAGCCAAAGGGTTATGCTGATCCATATCAGAAAGACAGTCTATCAACCAGGAGACATGTGCCTTTGGAGGCACTAGTTTGCAGATGACTGAAAAATCCTGTTCAACCTTTGACAAACAACCAAACAGTATTTCTACTATAAGCCAAACAAACCGATACGCTAAATCACCCAACGAAAACTCAATGGACTCGTTCCTCATCAACCAAACAGTATTTCTAGCGAAACTGGAAAACCCCTGGATTTTAAAAAGATTAGATAACCGGTTCTAAAACAGTGTGCAGAAGTTCTCTGTGAACCTTTAGATGACCTGTTCACCATTACGCTGAATCAGAGAAACCGTCAAAGGATCGGTAGGGAGTCATCTTTTCTCCTGTACTCAACCTGAAAAGCGCAGTATGCTTAAGATGTAATTGTGTATCCGAACGGTTTGAAGAGCAAGTTATTCCCCATGCGACAACTTGTACCGTACAGTAGCTGGGAGCAACTTAGATCTAGTCCTTATGAAAACACTGGATACCAGTATGTTTCACCCGAGTGATGTGGTGATGGCATGTTTGGCTGTACACTTCACGCACAGACAGTTCAGAACACTTCGTTGACAAAAATTGGTCCAAGGAATAGTAATAAAAGGGGCCAGTTGCACTAGAATAAATCATATGATGGAATGTTGAAGAAATTAGGCTGTCAAATGACCAGTTCAAGAACCGTTGATAACGTTGCGAAGTATTACTGTCGCTATCAGAAGGCAGATTTCCATAGGTCAGAATAGTATTTAGGCATTTAATAACCAGAGAAAATGAAAGTGATCCGAATGAAAAAGGTCACCGGACATCCATTTAATGTCCATTAAGGTTGACATCGGCATTTCCACACTTAGGTGATGTCGGCTTGGAGATGGCCTATACACTGCTTAGGATATTTCTAATGACCGGAATCATCCAAACAAACATACCTTTAAACAAAGTCATTGCAGATTTCGTAATATTAACCAACGAAGGATGGTTCATCAGAGAGCAATGAATCAAGCGCCCTCCTGTTTCCCTTCACTTTGAGTTTACCATTCTCTGAACCGGTTAACAGAGACTGTGGCCATCGCACATTCAGTGGAAGGCTCCAAGCAGAGGCTAAATAATAATAATAAGGCAACATAAAGATTGTGATCTGAAGGACTATCCCCTTGGAATTCCCACATCATACCCTCTCAGTCAATATCATCTAACCTCATCCTATACCCTTTTCCATTCCTCCTTGTTTCAGCGATTTGACTACTGCGTCCATTTACTAATTGTCTAACAGCTAAATTTCATTACATTTCGGTTTGTTCGGTTTTCCATTTAAATCTACATAACCTTCACTGATAATATGGCATCTACCGATCTACACTGGAAAAAATGTTGGTTAGGGGAACGACTCCATGCACAGCAGCAGCACGGTCTTGATACACCACATACTACAAACCACCCATAACCAGTCTCCCACATCAATCCAATGGTAGCTGACCAAATCCATGGCAGTCGAAAAACTGCGCAATTTCTAGAAGATCAGTCATTTTCGCCTTCACATAATTGTTCATTCCGGCCTAGCAGATGAAAATGACGAATATTTACACTTATCATTTGTCAAGAGAGCAGCAACCTCATCCGTGAAATCCAATGAAGCTTCAAAGCTTGACCTCAGTGACATCATCGCCTCGCATGTCGTACCAATTGGCCCGAAGTCCGCAAAAATGGGATGCTGGCCATGAGGCTAGTGATTTCACTCCGAAAAATCTGCCCAGTTGGCACAAAAGCTTTTCAGAGCGGTAAAATATACAAAAAACGAACCAAATCTTATCTGCGACGGGAGTGATGTAATGAAGCTGGCTGGTAGAAGCTTCCTGGAGGCCAGTCGATCGATGTGTATTTTTCGGATGACGGCAAAAATAAGAATGGAGATAAAGGGTGTTTGTAAGATGTTCTCAGCAGGAGATGACCGCTCAGATCGCAAGGGAGATGAGAGGGTACGACACAGTATTCCTAGAAAACTTTGATAGATGGTGGAGTGGATGTGGACTTTCAAAACTGTTAACTGAGGAGTCAACAATTCGCTCCAGTCCCCTGGACTACAACAATGAACACGCTGGAGGAGTGGCTACTATGACAACTTGAACAGCATAGAATGTTTCATGCAGCGGGAGCTAGTCTCCTCCAGGATCATTACGGCAAAATTCAGCACCAAAAGAAGAAAAACTACAATTATCTGATGCTATGTGCCTACAAGCAACGCGGGCAATAAAAAAGGGGGATATTCTACAGGCAACTGCAAGATGTTATGGACAAAAACCCAGATGGTGACATCAAAATCCCAATGGGCGACATGAATGCCAAACAAGAAGCAGAAAACTCAGGAAGAGAACTAGCCATTGGTAGGGAGGCTCCTGGCAATGTGAATGCGGACGGAGGGCAGGTCACAGGCTTCTGCAGTTTCATAATTTGGTGACTGGAGGCAACGTGTATAAACATGCGGGTGCAAAATTAATAACTCCTGATGGACGCACCAAAAGCCAAATAGACTTCATCACAATCTCAAGGAAGTGGAAACGCAGCCTGCTAAAAGGAAAGTTGAGAGAAGGGGAAGATGTTGGCTCAGGTCGTCATCAAGTTCGAGGAGCTCTCAGGATCAAGCTGAAATTTTTTAAATAGGCTTAAGGAAGAATACAACTCAAGTTCAGCCATAAATGTGGTAAAATTATGCAAATAAAATCTGCTTTCAGAAGTTCTAACACTTATGCTTCTCATGATTCTCCCAATTTTTCTGGTAAAATGCATTTA